GTTGCAGAGGACATCGTGGGGATGAGTCCTGCAAGACCCCTCCATGGAGGTCCCACAGTCTGTGCCCAGGATCAGGTGCTCAGAGGAGGCCTCTGAGCTGACCTCTGTTTCTCCCGCCAGCACAGTTAACTTGCCACTATTCCTGGCATGACAGCAACCTGAAGCAAAGCAATTAGGGTGAAAAAGAGATCCAGCTGCTTGGGGCCAAAGGAAAATAAACAGACAGCCCTGTGCATATTCCAATATTCCACTGCCAAAAGGAGCGATTCCTCACAGGATGATTAGCACTTCCAGCTCCAGTCTCTTCCCCTGAAGGCAGAGAAACGACCCGTGAGCTGCTGTTCTCAGATGCCACTCTTCTCTGGAAGTACTGTGGACCCCACATCTCATCACCTCCCCACGAAAGTCCCCCCTTGGTCACCTGCCCTGCCCCGCTAGAAATGATATCCCTCTCCTCTGAAATCTGACAGCCTCGAGGAGTTTTTCCTCTAATTGGTCATTCATTCATTCTTGTGACATTCTTTGGGCACCATTCATTTATTAAATAATTAAGTCCCTACTATGTTCTAGTCACTGTTCTGGGTCTTGGTGATACAGTGGTGAAAATCTCTGCCTCTGTCGAGCTCAAGTTTTAGTAGGAGGAAACAGACACTAAAGAAGTAAGTTTAGGGGCACCTGGGTGGCTCAGTTGGTTAAGCATCCGACTTTGGCTCAGGTCATGAACTCACGGTTCGTGGGTTTGAGCCCCGTGTTGGGCTCTGTGCTGACAGCTAGCTCAGAGCCTGGAGCCTGCTTCGGATTCTGTGTGTCCTTCTCTCTCTCTGACCCTCCTCTGCTCTCTCTCTCTCTCAGAAATAAATAAAACATCAAAAAAATAATAAAAAAAAGAAGTAAGTTTAGCATGGTAGATGATGCTAGATGCTATGGAGGAAAATAGGAAAAGGGAGTAGGAACAGCAGAGAAGGGGGAGGTAGATTTTATGGCAGGGGGGAGGTGGGTAGGAAAGTCCTCAGAATGAAAGTGACATCTGAGCAAAGGCCTGTAGGAGGTGAGCAGTCATTCAGGGACTAAGTGGGGGAGGTGCACGGGTACCTGTGCAAAGGCCCTGAGGTTGGAAAATGCTCAGTATGTTTGAAGCAATGAGGCCTGGGGGAGAGTGGTAAGAGACGAAGTGAGGGAGGAAATGGGGCAGGGAGTCCTGAAAGCACTTGGGCTTTTACTCGAGTGAAATGAAGAACCACCCAAGGGTTTGAATGGAGAAACAAGGTCTGGCTGGCATTTCATTAGGATGGCTCAGGCTGCCACATGAGCAGACTGCAGGGAAGCAGGCGCTGGGTGGAGTGTGGGAAGTTCTGGCTTCTCCTTCTGCCTTTTTGAGCCAGGCTATATAACCAAAACAGGGTAGTTTCCAGGGAGAGGAAAGCTTGGGGTGCAAGGCTTCCAGAGTCTGGGTCAAGGAGAAAGTGTGTGTAGGACTGGAGAGAGCTCTAAAGAATGGGGCTGCAGGGCTGTCACGGAAGCTCAGGAAAATGCTTATTGCATTAAGGTGTGTGGGTGTGTGTGTGTGTGTGTGTGTGTGTCGCGTGCACAGATCTCTCTTGAAGGAAAGACTTCTCAGAGTGGGTTTCCAGGCTGGGACAGAGATTTTTTTAAACCCTGCCATCCGGATTTAGTAACCCCTAGGTGTCTGCATATTTGCCCACCTGTACCTGGTTTGGCCTCCCAAACACCTTAACATGTGGTCAAGTCTAGGTGCCAGAGTCTGAAAGGCTGAGAATCCCAAGTCCTTGCTCTTCCACTTGACTGGCTGTGTGACTTTGGGTGACTCATTTGAGCTTTCAGGTGGTTTGCTCACCTGCACACAGACATAGTGAACACCCTTGCCCCAGGCGGTGGGAGGAACGACAGAGCCTGACCTGTGAGGTCAGAGAGGGTGGGCTGCGTCATGAAAACCTCCCCACGATTTGTGAGAGGGAGGGAGGGTGAAAGTGCAAACACCCCTCAGAGCCTTAGCAAGTCATTAGCACCCTCAGGAAGCAGGCTCTTAGAATCCCAGCTAGATCCTAAGGCAAGAGAACCCAGGACAGTTAATTTTCCTGTGACAGGGGGGAAGGAAAGGGCATTTAGGGGAGCAGGTAAACCCCAAGAAGAGGTGGTGCAGAGAAAGGGTAACAGGGAGGGGAGTGTTAAGGAGACTGGTAGAAACATTCTATCTCAGAATGTCTGCGAAGCAGGGAAGCAGCTACAGAGAACAAACATGTGGCCTTGGGTTCAAAGCTGGGCTCTGCTACTTCCTAGTTGTGCCTCTTCTAATCATGTGACCTTTGGGTGTTTGGATTTTTTTTTTAATCTTCAAGAGTAGGGGTTTTGCCAAGCTGCCTATCACTTAAAATTCTTACAGAGCTTAAATAAGCCAACTGTGGGAAAGCTCACTGCGAACAGTGCTATTATTATGCACAAAAGACGTCTCAGAAAGGGCTGCTCTGGACCAAGGAATACCACCACCCCAGGAATACCCCGCCCCCCACCCTGTGGACAGGTTCACACAGCGAGCTGCAAAAGCTGACAAACACAAAGCTCTGTGGATTGAGAGGAGAGATGAGCTGAAGGATCTCAAGATTACAAATCTCAGAGTGTTCAGCACTGGTCGGGAGGAGAGAGTAAGTAGGAGAGTGCTCTGAAATGTTAAGAGAAATTATCCATAACATAGGAATAGGTAGGGGCACCTGGATGCCTCAGTCAGTTAAGCATCCTACTCTTTATTTCAATTCAGGTCACATTATGATGGTTTGTGGGTTCGAGCCCCGCATAGGGCTCTGTGCTGACAATGCGGAGCCTGCTTGGGATTTTCTTTCCCTCTCTCCCCCACCCCTGCTCACGCGCTTTCAAAAACAAACATTAAAAAGAGAAATAGGCAAAAGGACTGTACACCTTTTCAACATCATTGTGGGGCAGGGCTGAATAGTTAAGCATTATTTAATTCTCTTAGGAAAAATTAAATACCTCTGTTTTACAATTTACCATTGATTAGAGTCTTGACTTTGTGAAGCTACATGCTAATTAGTAGCTACATGTATAAGTAAGTATGTGCGTGAAGATGCAAAGGATTTTAGTCCAGTACAGGACCACAAAATTATGGTTTTATTGCCCTGTAAGACAATAACCTGCTTCACCTCTTACCTTAGCAAATGTATGTATGTCTTTTCCAACTAAAGACACAAATCTCAAATGGTCCTCTGAACCATTCTTATGGCTCCCTTGTTAATGAGTTAAATAAGCCTTTGACAAGTGATAAAAAATTATATACTTTGACAGCATCAAAAAGTGAGAGACCGTACCCAGCTCCCAGGACTGAGGTAGGGCTGGAGTGGGAAGACGGATGTGAAAGTACTTTGCGCGTTATTCACAGGATGCAAAAATCAGGATTTATTGTTGTAATTCATCAGATTAGGCTACTCTAGGGCAAGCAGGTCCTGAGCTTCTGAGGGCAGCATTCTCTAGGGCCCGGGACATAGGTCAGGGAAAAAGGCAGCTCGGGGCAGCCCTAATGCTAGGCTCCATGCTGGTGCTGCATTCTAGGCTTGTGATGAGGCTAAGATCGCCCAATGGGTCTCAGGTCCAGGAGGATGGAGACCATTCAGGACACCCAGAGGAGTCTGCCCAAAGGGCATGGAGAAGCTGGAGGACTGGCATAGGCATCTGACCAGAAATCAGGCTAGGAATATTCTAAAGAAGGCACAAGAGTCCTCAGCCAACACCAGGTTCCCAAGGAACACAGCCTCTACAGCCTGCGTTCTTTCAGGACCTCATTATTTGATTCTGTAGGTGGGAAAGTGCTCAGACCAATTGACAGCACAATAGGATCTCCGCCCTTGCTATCTGCACACGAGCAAGGTCTCACACATACACAGAATGATGTCAGTCAGGGTCCAATGAGCACTGCAGGCAGCCAAGGTCAGGAACGGCCAACGCTGCACGGAGGAGGTGGGAAGAGCCAAAAGAGGGGTGGGGGGTGGAGAGAAAAGGCATTCCAGGCCCAGAGGATGGCAGGAGCAGAGGTTAGGGGAGAACGAACCTGCAGAAGGTGGAGGAGGGATACAACTGAGGGAGATGAGGCAGTGAGACCTGGCCAGGACTGGGCTCCTACCTTGAGTGACCTAAAGTCATGGAAGTTAACAATCCACTGCCCGAATGGTGATGGCAAATAAGGGAGTGGGCAAGAGGCTTGCAACTGAGCACTCCACTGCCAGTCTACATCCTGGAAGGGGATGTGGGGAACCCTCCCCAGCCTCTCCACATCTCACTATGGGTTCAGCTCAGTTATTATCTCTACAAGCCATCCCAGCCTCGCCTCCTCCCCAAATGCCTCCATCTACAAGCCCTTCTGCCTTAAAGGCTGGGCTCTCAGAGCCTCTTGCCACCTGCCTCAGCTTCCCCCCATCTCTTCTGAGCTCTGCACCTTCTGAACGTCCTGTGCAGCAGCTAATTATCCTGCCTCTCTTCTCCATATACTTTGTATACAATCCTCCTTCCTGCAGTTACATATCTTTCCTCTCCCTCTTTTCCCTTTGCCGGGATTTCTTCAATCCTTTGTTTTATTCCTCTGTGGGGTTTTTGTTTTGCCTGTTGCCTTTAGCCCTCAGTGGATCAAGACAAGTTGTGTGTAAACCTTTTGTTGTCTTGGATTAGACTCTAGGCTTTGCGGACCCCTCTGGCAACTACAACTACATTAGGCCTAACACTGTACTGGGCACACAGTAGGTGCCTAATTCTTGCCTACTGACTGGCAGTTTAACATCACTTAACTCACTCCTAGCCGTTCTCAATTATTGGCCCATTCACATACAAGCCTGCATTACTGAAATTCTACCCCTCACTGGCGATGTGACCCACCATCTCTCAGCAGAGCCCAAGTAATCTGAAGGTTCAGACCCTGGTGTTGCTGTTACTCTTTGAATTTCTTGGACATGTTCTTGTCACCAGAAGGCCAAAGACCTGGATGTCTCAACCGGACAGAAGTTCCACGCAATTCCAAAGGCCAGCCTTATAGACTCTGCCCAGGTTCAGCGAAGACTCCGAGATACCCCTCCTAAGACCAGCCCAGGTCACAGTTCTGGTGTCGTTGAGGCCACAGGCCCCGGGGTGCCGGGCGGCAACCTAAGAAGGAAGGTCTGCAAGGAGCCAGGCCTCGGGAAACCGGTCTTCTCCCTGAGCAATCTCCAGGTGCCACCCTCAATGGCATAGAGCAGCGTAAACATGCGGTTGACCGTATAGACTGTGTCGCCGCGCACCACAGCGGTGAAGAGCGCTCCCTTGCTGTTGACAAACTGGCCGGGCAGCGCCGTCCACTGGCCCGTGGCCAGGTTGAAGCAGTCGATGGCGCAGTGTAGGAAGTCGTCAGAAGGTCCGTTGCGCACCACGTAGAGACTGTCGCGGTGGGCCACCATGCAGTGGCCGTAGCTCTGCGGGCGCCGCAGCTCGGCCACCTGCAGCCACGTGTCGGCCCGCACAGTGTACTCCACCACCGCCGTGGTGTCAGCTGGCCGCCACAGACACACGAAGAGGCGGCCACACGCCTGGGCGCAGGGGACGCCCGCAGCCGGCTGCGGCAGATCGGCTACGAAGCTCCAGCAGCCTGCAGCCGGGTCGTAGCGTTCCACAGAGCTCATGGGCATCCTCTGGAACTCGCCGCCTATGGCGTAGAGGCGGCCATCGAAGCCGGCCAGCGCCGTGTCGTAGCGCGGCTGGTGCGGGCTGGGGAATTCGCCCCACGTGCCGCTGTCCGGATCGTAGCAGAAGCCCAGCTCCACCACCTCCTTGCTGGCGCCCCTCACGCCACCCACGATATACAACTTGTTGCCCAGCGTGGCCACGCCCGCCAGCAGCGTGCTGGCCTCCAGGGGCAGCGCGGCCAGCGTGCGCCACGCATCCGCCTCCTCGTCCAGGTAGCACAGTGTGCGCGACGCGTCCTCCAGGAAGCCGGGCGCCGGCGTGTGCGTGCTCACGGCCACGTAGCTGCTGGGCCGCAGCGCCGCCACGTAGGCGCGGGCCTCGGGCAGCGCCAGCTCGGCCGCCAGTTCGCGCGCGCCGTCGCGGATGAAGAGCGCGGCGCTGCGGAACACGTCGTGCAGGCCGAAGATGGCGGCCGCGTCGCACAGCAGCGCGCAGTTGTCCGACGTGAGGCTGTGCTCCAGGAAGCGCGCCAGCGCCGGCGCCTGCAAGAAGGCGGCGCACTCCACGGCCTGCAGCAGCTCGTCGGCGGCCGCCAGCGCAGGCCGCTCGCCGCGCAGCACCTGCAGCATGGTGTGGAAGCCGCCAGCGCTCAGCGCGCCCAGGCGCACCTCGGCCGCGCGCGTCTCCCGCATGCCGGAGCGGAAGAGGCCGCGGAAGAAGCCGCAGTGCTCCACCAGCAGGGCCCGCTCGGCCTGGAAGAGCTGGCCGCCCACCCACACCTGCACCGGGGAGGCCTCTGGGGCCCGCGGCATGGCGAGCCGGATGGGCGCGGGGCCGCCACCGGGGGCCTGGATTCAGCGGCCACCGACTCTGGGGCTTCCTCCAGAGCGGAAAAAAAACTTTCCGGGGGATATAAATATCTCCCTGGCTAAAGATAGTACGACTCATGTGATGTGGTGGCCTGCGGGCTGGATGGCTGCGGGCCCGAGGGCATCGGGAGCCCTGCGGGGTCACTCACTTCCGTGTGGGAAATGGAAACAAAAGTGACCGTATAATGAGCACCTAATGCATGCGGGGCATTGTGAGGGCTGCTTACGAAGATAACCGCATTTAACCTGTACTAAAGCGGCTGGATGCTCTTGTACAAGTACCGCAACTCTGCCTTGTTTCCTCGGATTGTGACCAATAAGAACACCTACACATGGTTTTGGACAGTATCTATAAAGTATTTAAAATGAGGCGCAGAGAATTTACATGGCACGTCCAAGGTCATTCAGCTGGGAAGAAGCAAGGACAGGATTAATACCCAAAACTCCATTGGGTTAGTAGCAGAGGTTCTTGGGTGCGTGAGGGAAAGGTGCAAGTAAAGCAAATAGAGTGGACCGGGCTGGGGTCCGGAGCAGGTTCTGACAGTACGTGGCTCGTTCTAAAGGCCTTTCCAGTCCAGAAGTGCAACGGCCACTTCTGCGTGGACGAGCAGCCTACTGACGAGGAGACTGAGGATGATCCTCTGGCTGGCCCTGACTCAGGGCTGGTTCGATCTCCTGTTCAGCCTGGGAGTGTAAGAGGTGAGCGTCCTTCAAACCTCTGAATGTGGAAGTACTCCTTGACTTCCGCTGGGAATGGGAAGCTGATGTCTACTCTCCACTCGTCCCTCCGTTGCTGTGTAGCTCTGGACCTTGGGAAAAGATAAGTGGTGCTGATGAGAGGATCATAAGTGTATAGATGGGAAGGGAAGGGTTCGTGAAATAATACTAGTTAACAATTTGCATGGTGTGTCAAGCACTTTGGTAAGCACTTTGACTCCTGTCATACCTGTAATAATCCTGTGAATAGATACTCTCATTTTCCCTCATTTAATAGAGGTTATCCATGTATTGCTTATAGAAACACCATGAGTTTCTATTTCATGGATGAAGAGACTAACGTACCAAGAGTTTAGTCACATGCCCAAGGTCACATGGCGAGAGAGAGGTAGAGCTAGGACTGGCTTGCAGCCAGTCTGACTATAGAGTGTTCCCCTGACTACTGTGCCCTGCTGCCTTTCTGTGCTACAAATGCTGGGTATTCACCTCGTGCCAGGAGGTCACAATTGGAACTTCAAGCCCGTATGGTTTAACCCTTTCATTTACAGTGGAGGACCAAAAAGGGAATTGGCCAGGGTCCTGTAGCTTGGAGAAGACAGCCCCAAGCCTCCTGCTGCTCACCACAGGGCATTTTCCCCACTGCAAAGAACTTTCTTGGGTGACCAGCTAAGACTTTGCATTCCAAAAAGGTGGAAGAGAGCCTAGCTATTATTTTCTTCTGCCACCTTATTTACAGGTGGGGAAACTGAGGCCCAGACCTGTGCCATTCAGAACATGTTCAACTACAGGCTTTCTTCAGTAAGATGGAGTGGCTCAAAGTGACAAAACCAGAGTAGAGAGGGGGCAGGGGAACTTCTCTCACTGCTAGGATACACACACACACACAGATCCTCATGTATGAATCTACAGGCCAAGGCAAATGTGCCTCTTCTGCCAGGGAACTCCTACGGAGTTTGCTCCATCAAAGTGGGGCAGGGATATGGAGACCACTTGTGTGAGCCTGGGAAGCCAAAGGCCTGGAGGAGGCAGCCAGAAATATCCGGGACACTCTGCCCCAGGGACCAGACAGGAAGAGAAGGAGGAGATAGAGGGGGTGGGCAGGAGTCCTCACAAATACTATCCTGGGCCCTCTGCCAGCCTCCCTCCTTCCCTGAAGCCAGACATTGGCTGAAAGCCTGACAGTCGCCCTCTTGGAAGAAAGTGGACTCGATGGTGCCCAGTCCTGATTCTGTCCTTGCTGGTGGCCTCAGAGGTAGGGAGAAGGTGTCCAACTGTTCCCATTTCACAGATGAGGAAAGGGAGGCCTACAGATGGCATGGGCTTTTCCTTGTTATGAACGACGATGTGGGACTGGGTCGAACCCTGTCTGCTGATCCCAGGCCCCAGCCCAGTACTAGCCTTGTCTTAGAGGAGGAGGAAACAGTTGCCTCCTGCCAGGCCCAACCTAAGGGACGAGGGGACACAGTTCATTCTCACATGGCCTATCCAGGCACCTGGTAACTGGCAGACACAACAGGTAGAGCCACTGGCTGGCCCTCTCCAGAGAGGAGTGGAAGGAGAGCAACTCTTCCTGGCTGAAGCTGGCTCCCAGTCCCAGGTTTTCACTAGTTCCTCTGTGGCTTCAGTGGATTGGGGCACTGTGTACACACCCAGCTCTGGCCTCAGCAGCCAGGCAGTGGGAAGGGGGGCACCCAAGGCAGGGGTTCATGGTTCTAAGGCTGGCCTGAGGATCAGCCCCTTGGCCCTGCTCCCAAGGCCCCAGTGGGGTGTCGTCTGCAGCTGGTGAGAGTTTCCTCTACCAGACAGTGCGCGTCCCTCTGGGACTTGGAGAGGACGAGGAACTATCCTGGCTGTGGGCAGCCCACAGAGTTCCCAGGCCCTGCCCGACCTCACACCAACGTCTCTCTCCACTTTGCACCCCCATACTGTGTGAGGTTCAGAGTGGGGGCAAGGAAAGGGGGACTCTGTGTCTGTGTCAGACTCTGAGTCTTTCTAGAGCACATGCCTAGCCTTGTTCGTCTCGTCTGTCCACAATACCTGGCACACAGTAAGGGGTCTGTTAAGTGGACTCGTGGGCCCTAAACTAAGCTGGAGTCCCCAGTGTGTGATGGAAGAGACACGACCCCAGTCCCAAAAGAGCCTGCAGTCTGATAAAGAAGACGTAGCCACAAGATGCTCTGAGTCTGGTGGTGGACCGCTGGCCTTGCCACCCGTGGCAGTGTTTCCGCACACAGGGCAATGCATTTGCCTGGGCCTGTGGAAGAGCAGTGGACTAGGAGTCAGGATTCCTGCCGGGCTCTAATGCTGGCGCTACCACTGACTTGCAAAAGCTACCTAACCTCTCTGGGCCTTAGTTCTTCATCTGCAAAGTGGAGCTTGGATCTGACTTCTACGGTTCTGTTTGGCTTTTTTTTTTTTTTTTTTAATTTTTAATGTTTATTTTTTAATGTTTTATTTATTTCTGAGAGAGAAAGAGAGAGACAGCATGAACAGGGGAGGGTCAGAGACAGAGGGAGATACAGAATCTGAAACAGGCTCCAGGCTCTGAGCTAGCTGTCAGCACAGAGCCCGACACGGGGCTCAAACCCATGAACCGTGAGATCATGACCTGAGCCAAAGTCGGATGCTTAACTGACTGAGCCACCCAGGCGCCCCAACGTTTATTTATTTTTGAGAGAAAGAGAGAGAACAAGCAGGGGAGGGTCCGAGGGAAAGGGAGACACAGAATCTGAATCAGGCTCCAGGCTCTCTGGACACAGGGCTCGAACTCACCGACCCAGAGAACAAGACCAGAGCCAAAGTCAGACGCTTAACCGAGCCACCTAGGCACCCCAGTTCTGTTCTGACATTAGAATTTGTCATTAAACAACCACAGAAGTGTTTGTCATATTGTACCTCCAGGGAACACAGTGACGTCACAAAGGGGTCCCAAAACCTTAGCTTTATGTGGAATGGCTCCTGGGAGGTGGGGGGCAAGGGTAGGACCTGACATCTGGAAATCTTCACAGGGCCTACCTGTGTAGACCTGTACACGTCCTACTCATTCTCTCCAGAGACGTCTGTCGAACACACACTCCAGGTCCACTGCTGGGCAAGGTCATTTTGAATACCTGAGGGCCCCTTATAAGAGCCTCAAAGATTGGGGGTAGGGAATAAGGAGGGTCGGGCTACTTTGACTAGTTTGGCTAGTTTGACTTTCAGTGTCCAAACTTCTGGTTGCTAAACAGTTTTGGCTTCTTGGTCGATGGGTGACAAGTATGTGCTATTCATGTCCGGGGGAGTGGAAGAAACTATCTTTGTTTTTCTGGGCCACAGGCCAAGCTCTGGGTGGGACACTTTCATGTTATCTCATCTAATGCTTAATATTATCCCTATTTTAAAGATGAGGAACTGAAGCCTAGGAGGGCAAAGTAGCTTATTCCGTGGTGTGACAGTAAGTGGCTCATTCCAAAGGCCTTCCCGGTCCATAAGTGCAATGGCCACTTTTGGGTGGACAAGCAGCTTACAGATGAGGAGACTGAGGATGGGGAAGGGGACTGGTTGCGGCTGTGAGGGGTGCACTCTTTTTCTTCCCAAGCCTTATAGGAGGGGCAGAATTTGGGCACTTACCCAGTCACAGCTGAGGGCTGAGTAACCAGCTGGCAACTTGTTCAGATAGTCTCTGACCAAGATGAGAGCTTGCAAGTCCCGTCTTGCAAGTCATGATGGAGTCTCCTTACTACAACACCTCCTGGAAGTGGTCACCCCCTTGGTTGCCTCCAATGTTGGGGGGCTCACTTCCTCTAAAGACCGTCCCTTCTAACTACAGTTGAGATGGTTAGCATTCACACACCAACCTGGAACCTGCCTCCTTACAGTGTCCATCTACTGGTTGGTCTGAATTTTAAAGAAAAGCAACTTGCCCAGTACCACAGGCAGGGACCTAACAGAGCCCAGGTTTACACCCAGTTGGGCCTGTGGGGATCCATAGCTTACCCTCTCTCCAGCAGTTCTCCAGTGAGATTGGTTCTCTTCCCATAGACCGTCCCAGAACCAGTCTGTCCTCTGAAGACTGGGACCAGTCCAGGGAGGTGGCTGGAACTTGGCTCCCACTTTTTCTCCACCTACAACTCAAGGGAAAACCTTTAAGCATTAGCTCTGTGAGTGATTCTGACCTGAGGGTTTAATCTAAGCAGAATTTTCCCAATACCTTAACAGTCTTAACACAGCTGGTTTACCATTATCTCCTACGAATAAAGTTAGGCCGAGTCAGTATTCACGTCCTGTCCTGGGAAAGAATTTTCCTTCTTGGTTGAGGAGTTATTACCATCAGGCTCTGACCCCAGACTTTGCCTGCTGATCTGGCTTTCCATGGATTATTTTCCATGTGGGATGGTAGATTAACTGGGGAAAGGAGAGGGAATTGGGGATGTGGGGTTGGAGGGAGGAAGGCTGTAGTGAGAAGTTTCTGTGACTCCTATGCCCTTTCCCACTCTACCCTGGAGTATATTACAAAAGAGAGGCTCCACCTGGTTCTAGAAAGTACTCAGACCTAGAACCGAGAGCTGATGCTGTCACTGTCTTAGGCTTGAATCACATATGGGATTTTGGTTTATTTTCTCCTTCCTTTAGTACTGTAGATGGGGATACCAATGCTCAGACAAGTGAGGTGACTTGCCCAAGGTCACCTAGTGAAAGAGCTGAGGTTAGATTCCCCATGTAGGCCCTTTGCTCTGCCTCCCATCATGATCGGATGTACCCCAGGTCCCAAAAGAAATGACAGGTGACCCCTACCAGGCTCATCCATCAATCCTACAATCATTATAGGCATGAGAGAGTGCCAGGTTTTAGGATAAATAAAATGCTCCGTTTATACACTAGGCCACAATCACATGCAATTCATTAGCTCCCATCAGGGAGAAAATAGTAATCCAGGATGGGTTAGGTTTCTTGAAGTGGGATATTGGCCATGACATGTTAGTAAGGAAGTCTCTTCTCCTTCCCAGGAGTCAGGGTTCTGCCTGGAGTTTGCAGTGATGCCTGAGAGTCCCCACACCGAAGGGCAGGGTAATGTAGTTGGGGAAGTTGTGTGCCAAGGCTGAGCTGGCTGTGACTGCGACCTAGAGAAAGGGCAGAGCAGGGAATTGAACCGGGCAGGCTTCCCGGAGGAGGAGGCGGGGCCAGCTTGGTAGAACAAAGGAAGCAGTGGATTTTCTTGCAGGTGGGAAGAGATTGCACGGAGGTTCAGACTAGGCTGGAAACATCCTTCCCCTCTCTCCCCCAACCCCGAGCCCCTCTGTCTCCGGTCCTGGTCCTTCCCTGCAGGGTCTGGGGGCGCTCCGAGCCGTGACAGCGCTTTGCCTTCTAGGCGGAGCCCTACCGTGGGATGCGCGACCGGCCAGCGCTCCCTCCCAGCGTAGGGAGCTGGGAGAGTGTGCCCTGCGGGGGGCTCCCGCAGCCCTTACAAGGAGTGTGGCGGCTCTCGGGGCGGCCCCGCCCACCAGCCTCCGCGGGCTCCTCCTCCCGCCCGACTGGGCGGGGTCGCGGGAACTCCGCCGGCTCCGCTCTCGACGCCCGGCCCGGCGCGCGGACGTCGATGGGCCCGAGTCCGCGAGTGTGAAAGGAGTCCGCGAGTGTGAAAGGAGCCCGCGACTCGCTCCCCAGGGCCCCAACAGGCGGGCACGTGGCTCGGGGCCCTTCGGCAGAGGACTCGTGTCCTCAGTAGCGTCGCCATGTCCTCGGTATTCGGGAAACCCCGCGTGGGCAGCGGGTCGCAGAGCGCGCCCCTCGAGGTCAACCTGGCCATCCTGGGACGCCGCGGGGCGGGCAAGTCCGGTGAGTTGGGTGGCGGGACAGAAGAGGTGTTGGGACCGGACAGACGGGGAGCGGGTGTGGACGCTGTGGACTTGCTTGCAGGCACTCTCCCACTAGCTTTGGGGCTTTCTGCACCCAGGTAGGTTGAGTGAGACGCAGTGATTTTCTTCTTTGCCTCAGTTTCTCTGTTGCTTGGTTCTCTCTCTACTTGGTTCTCAGCTCCTCCATCTCTCATCTGCCTTCTGTTCTTTGCCTGTCTTTCCCTCTGTGTCTCAAACACCAGTTGTCTCTCCTCTCTGCCTGTATCTGTGTCTCGAGGTCCTCAGCTGATCTCTCCCTTGCTGTTCACCGCTTTCCATCTCCTCTCCCTGGGCCTAGCAGTCGGCCCTGGTGACTAGCACCGCAGAGACATGTTAGGCATGTTAGGCGCCGACCTCCAGCCCAGGCCCCTAGGATCTTAGTTACAGTCTTGCTATTCCTCAGTTTAGGCCGGGGTGAAGGGAGGTGGTAGAGGTCACTGGCTACTAGGATTTTCCAGGGAAGGGCCACCCCAATTCCATGGGATTCTGGAACAAAGTGTGCATTTTTATCAAACATATTTTTCAAGTTAGACCCCTCTCTTGACTTTCTGGAAACTCATTGGACTACCATCCCAGGTTGTCTGGGACTTGTTCTTGAGGAACCAAGATTTTGGGTTGCCCCTGAGATTATTTCTGCCAACACTGAACTCTGGCTTAACCAGTCCCGGCAGCTCTAACCCAGAGGAAGCCCAGGTGGGTGGGGGTGAGGGTGTCAGCATAGGCAGAGACCCAGAAAAAGGTTTCACTCCTCCGTCCTGCTACTCACAGTCCCGGGGCTGTTTTCCAGTTACAGCCATTAGTGAGTGGCCAACATGGGCTCACTTAGCTCTCAGTTTCCTTCCCCAGAGTGTTCTTTGAGACTCAATGGTATCCTACTCTCCACTTTGGAAACCAGCCCCCTGACTCAGAGAGGGGACTCTGAATCATATTTCCCTACAGGAAAGATTTGCCCTTTTCCCTTTGAAAATCAAATTGTGTCTGTAGCTCTGTCACTGGTACAGTTTAGCCTGTGACTACATGAATGAAGGAATTTGAATTTTAAAGTATGTATTCCCTAGGTATTAGTTTGCAAAATGACACTGTAAGGAATCTTGGGAAAGAATTTTAAGGATTTTCTTTAAAATATCACATTACTTTTTAAGAGTCCAGCATAATAGTTGGCTGGCCCTGGAGCTTTATGTCACTAAATTCTGAACAAAATCAAAGTGCTGTTAATGAATTCAGCCTGGGGAGAATTTCATTTTAGGTTTTCCATTCTTTGGGACACCCATGATGAGTGTGGAGGCCCTAGATGGAGCCAAGACTTGAGACATAGGGGACCAAGGACTAGAATGTGTTTATTTGAGACGTGGGTGTTCATACTCCCCCCGAGGATCACAGACTGATCAACTCAGCTCTTAGTCTTTGGTTTATAGTCAAAACTAGAATAAATGGCACACACTTCAGAATTGTCACGACATGACCAGGGTGGAGGATGTGTCCCTTCAGTTTGGGTCTTACCAGACTGACCCTTAGGTAACTGGTTGAGTGGGTCCTGGACCCCTCAGCTTGAGTCTTTAAAAACACTCCTTAGGCTTGCATCTCATGGTTTTTCTTGCCATAAAAAAAAAAAAAAAATGCCAGGATGCAACTGGGAGGACATAGTTCCCTATATTTCTGGTTTATTCTGAGCTTCCCGAACCAACTCCCCAGTTCTCAGACCCATTCCCCCAGAGAGCTGAGCTTAGTGTCAGCCAGGAGTCACAGAGACTAGATAAGGCCTTCCTAAAATGAGAGGGACAACCTCTAGGGCCCGTAGCCAGACACAGCAGGGGATGACTGAGCCAGCTTCTTTTTGTTTCCTGCAGCTCTGACCGTGAAGTTTCTGACCAGGAGGTTTATCAGCGAATATGACCCCAACTTGGGTAAGGAACCACTCCTCCCCATCCTTCCACTGCCCCACTTGGAACCCCCTCCATCCAGTGCACACGCCTGCACTGCGGTGGGCCCAGGCCTGACCAGGATGCAACATCTGGGGGCAGAGGGGAGGAGCCACCAGGATGACTCAGCCCATGGGACCAAATGTTCTATGTGCCAGAAATACATCCTTTCACAGCCCACCCCAGACAATTTGGGGGGTTGGCTTAATTAAGAAAACTGAGTTAAGCTGATTTGCCCTAAATTATGAGACTTAAAAAAAAAATCAAACATAGCAGAACATCTACAACCATTAAGTGTTATTTTTCAAGATGGTTACTCAGTATACTTTTCCGGAAAAGCTGGACAAAACACTTGAGAAATTATCTAGTGATGCTGCTTGCTGACCCATTTTTGAACCACACAAGAAAACTCATCTTGTTTTGTAGCTGTATCATGGCATATTAGAGGAAAGGATGCTCTGGTATCAGTCAGAGCTAAGTTTGAACCCTAGCTCTGCCATTTACTGGCCGTGCAACCTTGAGGCAGTCACCTAATCTCTCTGAGCTTCTGTTTCCTCATCTACAAAATGGGCATAAAGATGCCTATCTCATAAAATTACTGTAAGCATTAAAGAAATGACACATATAAAAGATCTAGCCTAGTATTTGACCCACAGTAGACACAATGCATATTCATTTGCCTGCCCTTTTCCTTAACATTTACATTTGTAACATTTGTTTATTGTAAACTGTTCACTGAGAAAAGTGATGTATCTGGATACTTTTAGCCTTTTGAAAATGGGAGGGGTTGCAGTCTTGATTGTTTTTCATTCATTCCGCTCATAAGAATGAAATGAAGCATTTGTGGGAACCTCGAGGGCCCTCCGGGGAATCACGGTGCTGTGGGGAGGGGGAATCACGGTGCTGGGGGTGGGGGGGGAATCACCGTGCTGTGGGGCACAGACTGGAAACCACAGCACAGCAGCGCCTACAGAGGCCTCTGAAGGAGTGCACTGTAACACCTGAAGGAAAGAGCCCCTTAACCCCTTGGTGCCCTCAGTTCATGCTGGAATATTGAATCCCAGTGTTGGAGCAGGAAGGGACCTCAGAGCTTTTTAGTCTATTAGTTTCTAGAATTTTTTTCCCTAAGTAGCAGAATCACTTCTTCCAAGGCCATCTTAAATAGAACCATCAGGATGTCAAACAGAGAAAGCAGAAGGGATCCCCTGGTTAAGTCAAGAGTACAAGGCAGGCGACTCACTGACAGTCCCTAAGGGATTTGTTTTCTCAAAGCTCGGTTTGACCACCTGCACTATGACACAGCCCCTTGGTGGAACAATAGAGGAATTTGACCCAAGAGGCTTCTGGGCCAAGGTTACATAGCAGGTCTGAGGGGAGCCCCCCCCGCCCCGCCTTTTTTAGTGTTTATTTATTTTGAGAGGGAGAGAGAGAGTGAGCAGAGGAGGAGCAGAGAGAGAAGGAGAGAGAGAATCCCAAGCAGGCTCCATGCTGTCAGCACAAAGTTGGACGCAGAGCTTGAACTCACAAACCCTGAGATCATGACTTGAGCCGAAATCAAGAATAGGAGGCTTAACCAACTGAGCCACCCAGGCGCCCCCTGAGGAGAGCCTTCTTTTTTAAATTAAAAAAAATTTTATTAATGTTAATTTTGAGAGAGACACATACACACAGAGTGTGAGCAGGGGAAGGACAGAGAGAGATGGAGACACAGACCCCAAAGTAGGCTCCAGGCTCTGAGCTGTCAGCACAGAGCCCAACGCGGGGCTCGAACCCACCAGCTGTGAGATCATGACTTGAGCTTAAGTTGGACACTCAATCGACTGAGCCACCCCAGGCGCACCCGAAGAGAGCCTTCTTAATTAGCAGAGGTCAATGCCCACAGGGGTGGGACACAGGATGTAATTGTGTGCTGGCCATGGGAGCATTAAGAGAGGCCAGAAGATGAAATCAGATGGGGGATTTGAAGACAGGGAGGAGGTGGGAAGGAAAGGCATACAAGCAGGGGTATGGGAAAATGAGGATTTCCAAGGGTGGTTCCTCAAAAGACAGATTCTGCCTAGCTCAGATACTGCATGGGGAATACTTAGACTAAAAAACATTAGCTGTTTATCTGAAATACAAATTTAATTGGTAGTCCTGTATTTTATCTGGCAACTAGCCTCCAGTTTCTTCCTCCCAGACCCCCATCCATACCTTTCCCGCAGGGTCCCGCCAGGCCTAGTACAGTGGTGGTTTGGGCTTCCTGATTGAGTAATTTTGGAGTTCTGACCTGATAGTGTTAGAATGTGTGGTCACACTGTCTGGAGGAGGGGTGGGCAGCCCTCCACAGTGGTCAGTCACCCCAGCTTTAGGTCTCTCACCCCAGCCTGAGAGCCTGTCAGCTGGAGAGATGACCAGATGCTCCCCGTCAGCCATTCTGGGAGGCCGGTACCACTCCTCCTTGGGATTCTGCCCCAGCATCTGAACATTCCAGCCACTTCCCATGGCTGGCTGCAGCAACTGTGGGGACTCTGGAACCAGAGCCTTGCTTTCTGTAGAGAAAGACCAAGAAGACTAAGGGGAGTGTTAGCCATTGGGACATGTAAAACAACTCTCGGTCATTTTCAGTGGTCTTCCTTGAACCCAAAGTGAGCTTCTTGAGCATGAAGACCTGTGTTATTCATTCCCATTTCTAGCATGGAGTGCAATTCTAGGCATGACATAGATACTCTTAAACATGAGGTTGAATTTTGCTTTTAGGATTAGCTTTTAAAGAAGAGCTCCAACTATTCCATTTTACAGGTAAAGAAACTAAGCCAGAGAAGGCTCAGTGACTTCCCTATGGAGAAGCTCAGGTACAAAGAAAGATGAATACCAGTCCAGTGGCTCTCCACTAAGGACAACCTTATGCTCTAGAGGGCCTAGAATCAGAGGTCTGTGTGGCACTGGGTTCTGTGAGCCTCAGTTTCCCCATCTGGAAGATGGGACCAATAGCGTGTGCTCTGTCTGCATAAGGGTTGTGGCTGGGAATGTCTGCATAAGGGTTGCGCATGGGTGGCTCAGTCGGCTAAGCGTCCAACTTCGGCTCAGGTCATGATCTCACAGTCCATGAGTTCGAGCCCCACATCGGTCTCTGTGCTGCCAGCTCAGAGCCTGAAGCCTGCTTCCGATTCTGTGTCTCCTCTCTCTCCCTGCCCTTTCCCGGTTCATGCTCAGTCTCCCTTTGTTTCAAAAATAAATAAAAACACTAATTTCTTTTTAAAGGCTTTTGGCTGGGATTGCTGGTAGGAGCTGAGAGAATCAGTGCCTGTGGAAAGGCTGTGCCTGTGCTGAGTGCTCCAGGAAGGGGGAGGGTCCCCAGGAGGGCATTCTCTCAAGGACGAGCTGGGGAGCACCTTGCCAGGCTTTCCCAGGGCAGAATGACAGCTTCTCACCTCTCTTGCCCTCATCCTGCTCCAGCAAAGATACAGGCACCATTTCTGAGGCATCGGTCCTACACGCACTCTGACCAGAGCTCCTTTGGCACCTTTAAAAAGATTATTATTGGTGTAAATGAGGGGAAAATAGTTTGGGAAAAGAACCTTCTCTCAGCATGAAAGTTCTCAGAGTGGTTATTTAGAACTAGGAGTTATGAAGCCCATGTGGTTAAGGACCCCAGAATGCCCTGGAGAGCAGGACGTGGTGATAGGAAGACAGGACATTACTGTGACTTGGAAAGGACCACCCTACCTTACCTGCCATGGGAGAAGAAGCCAGATACGATGACCTCTGAGGCTTCTCCTAGCTCACCCATACATGTTCCTCATCCTCAGCTGGCCTGGGAGCTTCTGCTCTTCCCCTGTAGTCTCCCCAGATGGAGTTGGAGGATCAGCTGGTCCCCTGAGCAGAGGGTGAGGGGGACTTCATGGGGAAGCAGTGCAGTCTAGAAGACCTGAGTTCACTTTCCCCCTGAGGGTGTGCTGTGTGGCAGTGGGCAAGTTCCCTCCTCTTCTGGGCTTCATCTCTCTCTAGTGGTGCTAACAGTAACCTTGAAAGGCTGTTGTGCTGTGAGGAACCACAGGACACCAACACTAAGATTTTTCCCTGGGCCTGGTGGGACACAGTGCCTGTTTGGGGATGGGGTGGGGGCTGCGGTGCAACTCAAAGGGGTGCATCAGACAACTTTGGCAGGAAAATAAAGAAAAATCTGAACAAGATTTAGGCATCTAGGGGCATCTCTTCTTGTACCAAATATAGTTAAACATTTGGGGCATATTTTCCATTAGGTTTTTTTTTTTTTTTCACTTTGAATAAGAGTAGCTATTTATCCAAGTCCCCAAACAGTCTGGGGATGGGAGCTGTCTGTGATTTCTGCTGGCTGCTAGTGGACCTGGCGTGTGTCCAGGCCTGGCTTGACTGCCAGTGGCCCTTAGAGAAAAGTGGTGGTGAATTCAGTCAGGGTTGGAGAGGTGGAAGAAAGCAGAGAGGGCCTCAGTTCTGCCCGGGGGTCTTCTTGGGGGCACAGGGGCACCTAGGGAAACATGACGGCCAGGTGCACTCATACACATGCATGAGTGGCACAGGGGAAGGCTGGAGATAGGGAGAATGATGGCCAGTATGACAGTGAAGTCCTCTTTTCATGCCAGGCCATTTGTTGCTTTCTCAGGTTTGAGGGCATGAGATGTAAAAACAAAACAAAACAAAACAAAAAACCATGAAATCCAATTTAAGTTAGTAATTTAGTTCATAGTATGGTACCAATGTCAATTGCCTGGTTATGATCATTGTACTATGGTTATGTAAGGTGTTAACTTTGCGGAGAGCAGAGGGAAGGGCACACTGGAACTGTCTGTACTATTTTGCAATTTCCACACGAGTCTAAAATTATTTCCAAAGAAAAAGAAAAAAATACCACCTAGGAATGTGAACCTGCCCTGTGAGTTTTGGAGCACCACAGTCCCCTGTCCTTTACCAGGCATGTATGATGGGCCAGGGCCCATGCCTGGAGGCCCATCCAGTCCTCACACAGCCCTATGAGAATGCGGGGACAAGCATTTAACACAGTGCCTGGAACAGAGTAAAATCTGAAAAATTTTAGCCAATGTTATCATGTTATCCCCATTTTAAAGTGAGGAAACAGAACCTCAAAGAACTGCCTCAAAGCCTTAGCCAAGTCACATAGCTAAAAGGTAGCTGAAGTTGGGTTTGATTCCACATCTCCAACCTAAAACGTTCGACTATGCTATTATTCGTCCTCTGCTATTATTTCGATGAGGATTCTTTGTAAAACCTTCTTGGGACTTCTGAACAAGGTCTCTCTCTCTCTCTCTCTCTCTCTCTCTCTCTCACACACACACAAACACACACACACACACACACACTGTGTGTTTTTCTTTTCCTGTCTCTTCTACCAGTGAGTGCAGGAGGATTGTCCTTGGGGGTTTCCTGCGGCCCAGGTGCTGTGGTCAGAGGGGAGAGAGTGCAGAAGCTTGGGGTTTGGAGGAGAGAGGCTGGCAGTGTAGCTCCAGAGGCCTCTGCTGCTAAACAAACCTGTGGGCTACACACTTCATCCTGTAGGTGTGGTGGCTGGACCCAGAACACAATCCCATCTCCTGCGGCATGTTCTGTGAGTGACCTCTTATGCTCTGACCCCTGACAGGTAGAGCAGCCTCTGCTCGGTGGGAGGCTCTATCTGTGTTCTCCATTTGGATGCGAGCCAAGGCCTTCCCAGTTGTCCCAGCTCAGACAGCCAGAGAATAGATCCCCCAGGGTCTAGCCCAGGGAGGTGGGGACTCAGACCCAGTCTACCACTGAGCAGGCCACACTGCCTCTGACCTGGCTGACCATCTGTTGCAGAGGACACCTACAGCTCCGAGGAGACAGTGGACCACCAGCCTGTCCACCTGAGAGTCATGGATACTGCAGACCCGGTAACAGTACCCCCATTACCCATGGAGAGCTGAGAGTCTGTGCAGCCTCCTGGGGTGTCCTAGTCCCAGAATGGAGGCCTCAGATAGGAGTTTGTAAACTTTTTAAGCTCTAGTTTGCTGTGTGACCCTGAATGAGGCACTGACCTCTCCATTCCTGAATGTCTTCATTTGCCAAGTGAGAGGGGACGGGATGGGGCCTGGGGAGTCCTGATGGTTGCTGGCATAAGCTCGGAGATCCTCTATTCTGGGACTTGATGCTCATGTACACACAGAGACAGGTGCTTGCATGAGTTTACACAGAGGCCTTCCTTGGCCCAGGTCCCCTCAGTATACCATTCCCCCTATGTGCTTACCACCCCCTGCCAGGACTGGATACCAGTTATTCTCAGAAGCCAAGAGGCACCATCAACCTGACCCAAAACCAGCGGTGCCCAGGGACAGCCAGGTCTCTATAGCAGCCATGCCAGAGTCTTGGCTCTGTGCCTGAGGCCAAGGTCTCCAAGTCTATGACTGGGTGGTGGGAGTGAGACTCACAAGACAATGACTCCTTTCACACCAAGCCAAATCCACACTCAAGTGCCTCTTTGAAAAGGGCTCTGCTGGGAACAATATACAAAGACCCAGAGAGTAGGGAGGTGGGTGGGGCACCTCAGGTGAAGGCCTTTGCCCCCACCGAGGCTTCCCTCCTTCACCCCAGGACACCCCCAGGAACTGTGAGCGCTACCTGAACTGGGCCCACGCCTTCCTGGTGGTGTACAGCATGGACAGCCGCCAGAGTTTCGAGGACAGCGGCAGCTACCTGGAGCTGCTTGCTTTGCATGCCAAGGAGACACAGCGCAGCTCCCCTGCCCTCCTGCTGGGCAACAAGCTGGACATGGCCCAGTACAGGTGAGCACACGGACAGTTTGCCCTCCTCTGGAGCTTACTTTCTTCATTTGTAAAGGCTGGGTGTCATCGTTGGGGATTGTTTGGCTAATTTTGAATAATCCCCTCAAATTTAGATTAAAGGGTACAGTGCACATGGTCTTCCAGACAGGTAAGGGCAGGAAGGGAAAAGCTTCTGGTCCACATGGCGTTTGGACCCCAAAAGTTAGAAGAGACACCACTCCTTCCATCCTCACGGGGCTTCGTGGTCTCTCTCGGCCTCACCCTTCTTGCCTGTCTCTAGGACATTCCATCCTCACTCTCCAGAGCTGACTGGTTATTCAGTGCCCAATACCAGGTCTGAGAAGAAAGGCTGTGATTGGCTCCTGTAATCAGATGTCTGCTCTGGTCCAACCGGCTCTCTCCTCACCGGACCATGGTCTCAGGCTCACTCCCATAGTTGGCTGTGCTGAGGGCAGGTTCTCTTAGAATGAGTTGGACTTAAATCAGAGGTCACAGACTGGGCCAGAGGGCAGATTACCAGCAAATACGGCAGCATTTTGCTTGGCGAGCACAGAGTTTTAAAAGACCTAGAATTGGAATGCTTTGAGGAGGGGCATGCTCTCTCCAGCTGACCACAGGCCTTACCACTCCCCATAGCTTACCTCCACCCTCTCCTTGGATTTGAGCTGCTTGCCTGGCCCTTGAAAGCATGATGCTTCCACTTGATGAGTAATCCCACTGGCCTTCTCCCAACACTGACATTTGTCCTATGTGGCCAGCCCACCTTTGAAGTATGGCGTCTCCCACCCATTTTCCACCTGTCCCTCCCTGTGCATAGCCAGTCACCCTGCTTCCCCACACCTCAAAGGCCCATTGACTGGTATTAGCAGGGAGGGGACTTGGGTGCAGAACAAATCAGTGGGGAAGGGGGCGCAGTCTCATGAGGAGGGACCACTGTAGGAGCCTTCACTGGCCATCCAGCCCTCAGAGCAAGACAAATTTCATCTCAGGGAATGAAGGAAGTTGTGTGATCTTAAAACCAAAAGGTGATCTTTGAGGCATTAAAGAGCCCACAATGCCTGGAAGCGGGGGCAGCAGACTGAATTGTGGTAAATCGTCTTCACTATGAGAAAAAAAAAATCTTGACCACTGTTTTGGTCCTAATCTTTGCCAAAGGGATTGTCTAAAAATGTTTTGGGAGCAAATAACAAAGATTATGGGCCTCAAATGAAGCAGCTTCAATTCCCTAAGAAAAGTCATTAAAGTTACCTTCATTTCCTTCTTTGATCAAGTTCTGAGGTCAGTGGATTAGAATTTGATGAGCAGTAAAACTTATAGCTGAGCATTGGTGTGTCTCCCATGATTGTCTTACAGCCAAAAGGTAAGGCATGGATTAGAGCAGTGGTTCCCGAACCACTGATAAAATTGTCACCAGGCTGCAACAAAATAAGAGAGGATAATGTTCATACCTGGGTTGCCCATTCACAAACATGTATGCGTGCATGGGGTGCTAGTTTCTGAAAATTCACAATTCAAGCCCCCAGAGTGACAAATCTGTAGATTTGAGCTCATCATAAAAGCAAATAATACCAAGTATTCCTTCAAAAGGGTTTCTTAGGAAGCAGTGAGTTTACAGACAGGACACCAGCCATGGATGGCGAGTCTAGTTGCTCTGCTCCTGGCCCTTTTTGTCCCAGTTACTCTCTGTCTGATACTTCCCTGGGCAATTAGCCCACCCCCACCCCCTGCCCCTGCCCCTTCCAGTTTAACCTTGGCTCAGAAACCTCTTCCCACCAGTACCTACCTGTCTCATGGGCTATGCCACTGTCCTCGAGAATAGCAGATGAGGCAATCAGCAGTACAGGGTGGTCACCAAGATTTAGCCAATGGAATCTTGGCCTCAAGACCTCAGGTCCCCCTCACCCCTTCCTCCTTCAGGACATCTGACCTACACAAGAGCCAGTCTTTTCCCTCTCACCTTGAGTCCCGTGGCTTTCAGGTCCGAAACTTCCAGGACCTCCCCAGTTAAATATTCAATCTCACGGTCACAAAAAAGGGGAATAGGACAAAGCTGACGATGGATGTTGTTCCCTCCTTTTCTCCCTCCTTGTCATGAAATGCCACCCTTGCCCTCTCTTGCCTCTCCTCTGGACAGGCAGGCAAAACTTCCCACCTGGGAGAGCTCTGCCGATCACAGCCATCCTGAGTTACCTCGCCCACCCTGCCTCTGTGGGTCACACCCTTCCATCCAAACCACTGCCTTTCTCTAGAGCCCATCCCACAGACACGGGCTGAGGGTGGCTGTTTCCTGACCAAGGACCCATGCTGGCACAGAGAGAGGCAGGGCTGGGAATGACCGTCTTCCTTGGTCCACAGACAGGGTCTAGCCAGTAAGCTTCTGCCTTGCCCACAGCTTTGTTCCTAAATTCTGGCTTTAGTGTGGTCAGCCACCATTTATTGAGCACTGACTCTGTGCTATGTACTACACTAGGCACAAAATACAAATGGTCTTTCTTAATTCTTTTAACAACCCTGAGAGGTAGAGGTCACTAACCCAGTGTACTGATGAGATGACTCCAGCTCACTGAGCCAGCGAGTGGGGAGCTAAGCACAGGCCCAGGCCTGCCCCAGTTGGATGCACGCTCCTGACCCTGCCTCACCCTGCTTCCCCACCAGGCAGGTCACCAAGGCAGAGGGCGCAGCCTTGGCGGGCAAGTTCGGGTGCCTGTTTTTTGAGGTCTCTGCCTGCCTAGACTTTGAGCATGTGCAGCATGTCTTCCACGAGGCCGTGCGGGAGGCACGGCGGGAACTGGAGAAGAATTCCCTGCCCCGGCCCCTCTTCATCTCCGAGGAGAGGGCCCTGCCCCACCAGGCCCCGCTCACTGCCCGGCATGGGCTGGCCAGCTGTACCTTCAACACACTTTCCACCGTCAGTCTGAAGGAGATGCCTGCCGTGGCCCAGGCCAAGCTGGTCACTGTGAAGTCATCCCGAGCCCAGAGCAAGCGCAAGGCACCCACCCTGACCCTGTTGAAGGGCTTCAAGATCTTCTGAGGGCACCCCTAAAGATCCCAGACCTAGTGGCTGGGCAGGGCTGCAGGACTGGGGCTGGCTTCTCGCCACCGGCTTTCCCTCCGATGGAACAGTAGCCCTCACCCTCTGGCGGACGGTTGATCCTTCTTCCAGCACTGGGTAATGTCCCTGACACCCAGTTTACTGTGTGAACTGGTGGGACAGGCTGGAATGCTGCTCTTAGTCCCTCCAGGCCTTGGTTTCCATGGTAACTACTGCGCTCCTAGACCCTGAAGGGAAGTAGCCACTGAGAGGACGCGGAGACCTGGGGTCAGGCCAAAGTGGAAGGAAATTGCCGTGTCCATCATGGTGCCATCACCCCTTCTTGCTCCAGCTACAGCCAGGCCAGCTGTGGCCCCTGATGGACAGCTCTGAATGGATGGTCAGCACCAAGAAGGCCCTGCATACAAGTAGGCCTGAGAACATTCTGCAGGAGCAGCCTTGAAGTCCTAGCACACCACCTAGTGGACAGGAAGGGTAGAGCGGCGACAGGTTTTTTGGGGGACAGAACCTGGCCCTCCTGTTGTCTTCTGACTTCACAGAAGGCCCAGGCAACAAACAGTTTACCCAAGTAAAATCTAGTTTATATAATCCTATGGGACATCCTGTGAGAAGCAAACTTCTCAGGAAGGGCTGTTTCCAGTACTCTGCCTCTCAGTGAGGATAGAAGGCTGGGGGCTCTGGGTTGCCCAGGGTAGTGAGCATCCAGTGTTTTAGTCGCCAGGAAGCAGGGCCCCCTTGTTTTCTCATCCAGGATCCAGAGAGCCTGTAACTGGCAGTGTCAGACATCCAGTGGGCACTGTCCCAGGCTTGTAGGCAGAAACACAGTAGAGCAGTTTTAGTCTGGTCCAACAGGACCCAGTACCTTTGGCAAAGGGCCTGAATGTTCAAAGTTCACTTTTGAAAGATAGAACCTAAAGCATTTTTGGTTTATGAAGGAATTTTTGTGTAAATTATTTGGGGTTGCCACCACAGCTTATACTGTAACACCATGGCTCAGATGCAGGATCAGGACAGGTTTCTTGGGATTCCATTGTTAGCACAGGGGGCCTCTATAGTTTTCTAACTCTGTTTACCTCAGGACTTCTGGCCCAAAGGAAGTCTCTCATGGACCCTCAGATAAGCAGGTAAAGGAAATGGCTCTGGTAGGAGGAAGGGGTGGGAAGGGGATTCTGAGCCCAGAATCCTGCTCTTGGCGATTCCAGGAGCTTGGATTAAGAACAACAGCTCTAGGGGCACCTGGGTGACATAGTCAGTTAAGCATCTGCTTTTGGCTCAGGTCATGATCTCATGGTTTGTGAGTTTGAGCCCCGCATTGGGCTCTGTGCTAACAGCTCTGCCTGGAGCCTGCTTCAGATTCTGTGTCTCCCTCTCTCTGCTCCTCCCCCACTTGTGCTCTGTCTCTCTCTCAAAAAGAATTTATATATTAAACAAAAAGAGCAACAGGGGCGCCCGGGTGGCTTAGTCGGTTAAATGTCCGACTTCAGCTCAGGTCATGATCTCACGGTTCGTGGATTCGAGCCCCACATCAGACTCTGCTGACGGCTCAGAGCCTGGAGCCTGCTTCTGATTCTGTGTCTCCCTCTTTCTCTGCCCCATCCCTGCTCACACTGTCTTTGTCTCTCTCAAAAATAAATAAACATTAAAAAAATTAAAAAAAAAAAAAAGAGCAACAACTCTAACCCAGCCTTAAGCCCCATTATGTGGATGGAGAGGCTGAGGTCAGAAAGAAGCTGTGAACTCCTCAAGACCAAGTGAGGAGTCGTAGCCCAGCTTCCTGACCCACTGGCTGGCTATGGATTTCACGATTTTGTTCCATGCTGCTTGTGTTGAACCACCTCCATTTGAACAAATTCTGCATTTCCAAATGCCTACTTCAGAAGCATTTTAATAAAAAGGGAGGGTTTTTTTTTTTATATAACAGAATATTAACTTGATTGCAGTTCATTCACTTTATCTGCTGACAACATGGGGCAGTGCTCTGGACCCCTACTAGCTCTCCGATTCTTGTGGGTCTGGAAGGAGAACCCATGGCATCTCTCTTTCTTTTAACTCAATTTCCACCTGGGCTGAATTTTGCTTTTCTGAGAGCAAAGTCTCTCTTAGCATGTTCACGTTGTTGTCCTCTCTGGCTCCGGCCTCAGCCAAGTCTTGGAGTTCTGTAGTTTGTATTTCCGGTTTGTTTTTCCTCAGTATCTTTTGATTTCTGAGAGGAGAGAAAACACTGTTGAATTAGGGTTCCTTGAGCTGGGGTACTGAGTGGCTGGGGCAAGATTAGGTCTCCCAAGTGGGTTAGCAGGGTGGAGGGGAAAATCCAGTGGGCAGCCAGTCTGGGAACTGTTGGGGGAGAAAACCAAGATAGTGTGACTTTCTTTTGGCAGAGAAACAGTTTATACTCACCAGTGCATTGTCTCCCCAGATCCTCACTGCCACCATGAGCTCAACTATTATTGCTACACAGTCCCCTTCAAGGTGAAATGTGGCTCAAAAAGGTCAAAGAAGCACATACCTTGGACCTGCATTTAAGTCTTCTGACTCTAGGTTCTGTGTTTTCTCCAACCCACACATTCTCTGTCCCAGGACTGCATCCTACTTAGTGCAGGTCTTGTTACCCCACACCCCATCCCCACCCTCATCCCATCCCATCCCCAGACAAACTACTTCAGGAAAATTCTTAACTGGTATTCCTGCTTCTAGGTTCTTGCTTTTCCAGACCAGCCCCCACACACCAGTCATGTTTCTAAAACCACAGGGTGCACACTTTAATGGCTCCTGACTGCCCATGTCCTTAACCTGGCATTCAAGATCCAGCCTTCCTTCCAGTAACTCCCCTAAATGTCATCTCCCCGAAGGTGGTTTTACTCAAGGTACCCCTAGACGTCCTGGCCATAGTAGAGAGACCGAGCTGTGGTGAGAGCTGACTGCCCACAGAATCTGCTTGGGCCACAGGCGGTGCAGCTCACTGTCTGCTGTTCCCCTGGATGGCCACTTTGCTCCTGAGTTGACCTTGCTGAGGGCAATGTCTCCTGACAGGATAAGGCAAGAAAGACAAGGCCACCTTTTTAGAAGCTACACCCCTTCAGTTCCTCTTAGGTTCTGCATCCAGACTAACCTTTCATGTCCCTATTCAAAGCTGTTCTCTGGCTCCCCAGTGCCCATGAGCTAGAACCTGAATTTCTTGGGTTGGCCCCCAGGACCCATACATTCTGGGCTCTGCCCCCCTCTTGTCCTCCCTCCACCCCCATCCCACTTCACATTCCAAAGCCACATGGCTGGGCCCTCCTCCTCCAGTACCTTAAGCTTGACGTCTGCCGTCCCTCAGTCTGGAAGGCTTCCTCAGCCCACCCTCCCTCTATCTCTTTGCGCTGAAGGCCCCAGATCCCAGCACTGCGCTCCCACTGCACCCTATATGTCCCACACTGAGCATCTGTCACTCTCAATTACACTTGTCCCCCAGCCAAACTGTAAATTCTATAAGGCAGGGACTGAATCCTTGCCTGTGACTGTGGCTCCCACTCACAGAACAGAGCTTGGCACAGAGCAGGGGCTCAGCTCTTACCTGCGGAATGACCAGTGAATGAGGCCACGATAGTTCATATGGACAAGTTCTCAATGTGAACAAAGGGCACTTGGCTTGTTTTTTTGTTTTTTGTTTTTTTTACTTTATAGCAGAAGTATGAAGAAAATTCATGCATGATATAAAATATAGCAAAGAAGGAAGAGCATACAAGTTAGGCCAACACCTCCTTGGATCCTCAATGACCTTATTCTGTACAATGGAAATAACTTGTGCCTGCCCTACCTTATAGGGCTGTCTTGAGGATCAAATGAGAGAATGTAAAGGTACTTTTTAAATTGTAAAACATGATATGGATATGAGGGAGGGATTCTCATTATTTTTGTTTGAAAGTTACTGATAGAGATGACTTGTGGGTATATAGTAATTGTTGAAAGAGAAATGAAGGAAGGAGGAAAGGAGGGAAGGAAGGAGGATAGATAAGTGAGCCAAGCATTTATTAAATCATTTCTAGAACCAGACACTGTGTCAGTCGCTTGGGGAAACGAGTCAGATGTGGCCTCTGTCCTCAGGGAGCTCTCAAAAGTCAGCCCTGGAAGTTTCTCATCCAGGGAATTTAGCAGAATTCCAGTGACTACCCCAGACCCTTTGTGTTAGAATCTCTCACTCACTTGTAGGAATGGCAGTGCTGGGATTTGAACCCAGGCCTATGTGACTCCAGAGCCAGAGATCCTGACCTATGATTGATGGCCAGGGACAGGGGCAGTAATCAGGGACAGTTGCTAACTTTTCAACAGCTCTGTGTTTTTAGTGGACCCCGAAAGCTGCATTTTGCTGTCCCAGAAGGTGGCTAGCCAAGTATGTGACCCCCTCCCTAGATTTCCCCACCCCGCAGAGACCACCCCCAGACCAGCTCCTCACCTGTTTGCCTGGATGCTCCTGCTCAGGAGGATGATGCTTATCACGACCACCACACCCACCAGGGCAAACATGGAATAATTCCAAGGAGACGCTAGGGAAGGACACACAGAACGGAGCCTTGAGGAGAGGCTGGGTGCCCCTCAGGCCCACCCACATTTGGGGCTTGGGCTCAGCCTCAGCCTCGGCTCACAGCACTAATCACGAACCCTGCTGTAGGCCAGGTGTTGTAGAGAGACCCCTCCCCTGCAGGGACTCAGTTGTTGGGGAGAGAGATTGGGAGGCACGATTTCTGCTTTACAGGAGCCCTAATCTAATGAGGGACAGCACTGCAGTTGGATAGTAGTGTGGAAAGGGGGGTGTGGGTGGAAATAAATTTCACACTCTTCAGAGTTGTGCCAGAGGGCTGTGCAAGGAGAGGAAGGAGAAGAGGCTGGGGGTGGGAAGGAAGGGGTGGCAGTGAAACTTTGTTCCACAAGTGCCCAAAGAGAGTACCTGAGGTGGCTAATCTGAATTTGGATAATAAGGTCTGTCCACATGGTGCCAAAAGAAGGCAGGGTCCAGCCTCAAAGCTATTGCATTAGCTGTTCCTCCTTCCTGGAATGTTCTTCCCACACATAATCTGCGTGGCTAATCATTTCATGTCCTGCAAGCCTTTATGCAAATGGCAGCATCTTAGTGAGGCCTTCCTTGACCATAGTACCTACGCTTCTATTCCCTTGCTGTGCTTAGTTTTTCTCCTTAGTATCACCAACATACTATGCATTTTAGTTGTGTGTCCGGTTTATTTTCTCTTTCATTAGAATGTATGCTCCATGAGGGCAGAGATGTTTGTGCTTTATTCACTGCTGTAACCCCAGTGCTGAGAGCAGTGCCTGCTGCACAGAAGGAACTTAATAAATACTTGTGAGTGATCAAATATATGAGTGAATGAATGACCGCACCCTGAGAAGAGGAGGGTGCAGTTGGGCCAAATCCCTCTGGGAATTAAGACCCCTCAGCCTCAGTCCCCACCTTGGAGGACATGTGCAGCCTGCAGGAGGAGGCTGTGTCAGCCAGAGTCCACTCTATGTTGAGGAGCAGACCCCCACCCCCCACCAGTCCCCTACCACTTACCATCTTCTACCCGAAAAAACCAAAGCATTTCTTCTAGCAGTTCCTGAGGCACCACGGTGCTAGCTTGGATGACCCCGTCACTGTGGTCCATGCCCTTGCTCACAGTTGGAATACGTTTCTGACAATGAAATAGGCCCCTTTGCTCCGCAGCTGCCTGCCTGGCCTTCTAGGTTCCAGCCCTTGAGCAAAGCCCTGAAGACCCCTGGAAACACAGCAGAGAGCATGACTGGATATCCAACCCCAGTTTGACCTCCCATACTGCCCTAACCCCGCTCTCCTCTGCGCAAAGTCAAGGGACTCGGGGCAGGCAGAGTCTGGAGAGGCAGAACCCAAAGAAGTGGGAGACACTCAAATCTTTATTAAGACTCATCAGGTGTGGAGAGGAGCCCTGACCTGGGAGTGAGGAGGATTGAGTCACTGGCAGGCTGTGGGATCCTTGTAGGGAACATTTTTCATCGTTGCCTGCCCAGTATCCTCATCCAACTTCTGTAGCCCAACACACTAGGTCACCCTGGTTCCTTCGCAAATGGTCCCACTTCTCACCATTGATGCCATGTGATAGTCTGTCACAGGCTCTTGTCTCCCCGCAAAGCCTGGGCCAATCAGTCTCTCTCCTGGAGACCTGAGACCCAGAGCTGAGAATAGGAGAAGGTGCCAGAGCAAGGTAGTCGCCAGCTCCTGCTACAGAGAGCTGGGCTCTCCTCTTCCTCCACCACCATTCCTAGGCCTGTCCGTCAGTCCTCCACAAACTTCTGATAACCTTTTTTTAATTTTTTGGGCGTGTTATCAGAATTGTTTTTCTGTCATTTGCAACAGAAGAACCTGAACTTATGCTCCCTGGATAAATCCCTTCCGCAATTTGAGCCTGTTTCCATCCTACAAAACAAAGCATATTAAGCTAACTGTTCACCAAACCTCAGTAGTCTCAAAACAGTCACACAACTGCACATATTCTTGTACTACCTGTGCTATTACAACTCATATAAAAATTTCTACTCTCCAGATTAAAATGAAAAGAAATAGGAGCAATTAACTTTGACAATATATTTTGTTTAATCCAACAAATCCCAAATAGTATCATTTCAATGTAATCAATATAAAAACGGCTGAGATATTTTACATTTTTTGTACCAGGTCTTTGCAACTGAGTGTCAATTTTACACTGATTGCATTTCTCAGTTCTGACTAGCCCCATTTCAAGTGCTCAGTGGCCACATGAGGCTACTGGATGACACAGCACAGGTCTGTGTCCAGGCCAGGGTTGGGCTGTGGCAGGTGACTCTCCCAGCTGTTCTGGGCTCCTGACAGGAGGACCTCAGGCCATGGGAAGTGAGCCTTGAGCTCAGAGCCAAGGAAATGGCCCTTCATCTGGCTCTGCCTCTGGTTACTTTACCCAGGCACATCCCTGGGTCCTCTGAAGAACCAAAAAGGAAATAACAAAAATAGAGGCAGAAATCAATGATATCAAGGGGGAAAATTGACAAGATGAACGAAACCAAAAACCTGTTTTTAAAATATATATTAATAAATAAATCTCTGGCAAGATTGATCCAGAAAAAGAGAAAAGATACAAATAGAACCAAAGCTAGACCCAAGATTTTAATATAGAAATGTGTTTTGAACAGGGGGCCACCTGGGTGACTCAGCTAGCTGGTTAAGCGTCCAACTCTTGATTTTGGCTCAGGTCATGATCTCACGGTTCGTGAGCTCAAGCCCTGTTTGGGAGTCTGCGCTGACAATGCAGAGCCTTCTTGGGATTCTCTCTCCTCCTTTCTTTGCCCCTCACCTGTTCTCTCACTCTCTCTCAAATAAAAATTTTTTAAAAATGTATTTGAACTAAATACTAATAAACTTGACAAAGTAGATGAAATGGATGAATTATGCATTATATTGCTATGGGTTATTTACTACTAGTTGCAAGTTTGTACCCTTAAATAATATAAAGCTTATCTCCATCCCCCCCACCCCCTGCCGCCCATATTCCCAGGCAACTACCATTTCACGTCATATTTTACAAGTTTGACTTTTAAAAAATTTTTTATTTTTATTTATTTTTAAAGTTATTTATTTTGAGAGGAAGAGAGAACATAAGCAAGTTGGGGCAGGGAGAGAAAGAGGGAGAGAGAAAATCCCAGGCAGAGTCCATGCCTAGCATGGAGTCCAACGCAGTACTCAATCTCATGAACTGTGAGATCATGACCTGAGCCAAAACCAAGAATCAGATGCTTAACTGATTGAGCCAGATAACTGACTGAGTCACCCAGGTGTCCCTGCCTTTTTTTTTTTTTTTTTTAATGATTCCACGTAAAAGTTATAGCATACAAGTTTCTAATGTCAAACTGTCCTTCCATTCCTGGTAGTAAGCTTCCTTGGTAATGATTTTCTTAATACATTGTTGAATTTGGGTAACTAATACTTTATTTAGGATTTTTGCATCTATTTTCATAAGTGAGTAGGCCTATCATCTTTTCTTCTTGCATGGTCCTTATCTAGTTTTGAAACCAGTGTTAAATGAACAGCTCCATTGGTGCTGTTTTCTTTGAGGGACAACTTATTTAAAATAAGTTTATTTTTCTCAGAGTTTCAAGTATCTTCCTTATCTAATTTTGACATTTTCTATTTTCGGTTAGAACTAATAGAAGCATTTAATAAAATTTCTGTATACGAGGTCAATAATATTTCACACAATATTAATGAAACTGGAAAAATTAAATAAAAATAAGATGTTATTCATAATAGCATCAAAGTCATAAAGCATCTGTATAAACTTTTCCAAGCATAGAAAAGAATTCTATGGAGAAAATTTTAAAAACTCTAAGACAAAAAAAGGATAGGTGGTCTGAATAAATGGAGAGACATCTATGATTTTGGATAGGATAAATATATTATAAAAAATGTCTATCAAAATGTGGGTGGCTCAGTCACTTGAGTGTCCACCTCTTGATTTTGGCTGAGGTCATGATCCAAGGGTCATGGGATGGATCCTGGCATCAAGCCCTGAGCTGAGTGTGGAGCCCATCTAAGATTCTCTTTCTCTCTCTCCCTCTGCCCCTCACCCCTGCTCATGTGCTCTGTCAATCTCTCTATAAAATAAAAAAAAAAAAATTTTAAATATGGTTTTGACACAAGACCCAATCACTGTACCAAGGAGTCAGAACAGAGATTTCATAGAGACCTATGTACACATGGGAACTGAATATACTAACCAGTAGGGAAAGGAGGAATTGTTTAGTGGATGGTGTCAGGGAAACTAGCTACTGTATGAAGAAAAGGAAGACTAGGTGCACATCTAACAAAGAGCAAACTGAAATAGACTCCAAAATTAAAGACCTAATTGAAAAGGAATACATATAAATTAATAGAAGCAAGGTAGGACTTCTTAAACAAAACCTTAAAAGCTCAAATCTTCAATAACAAAAAACTGATGAATTTGATTATATCAAAAATAAGATTATCTGTTCGATGAAGAATACCATCAATAAAGTAGCAAACACATTTCTAGTTGGGATAAGATACGATGCTTAAAATCAAGAAAAGACTGGTATCTAGAGTATACAAAGAATTCTTGCAAATTAACAAGAAAAAGATAGGAACCATAATAAAGGATATAAACAGGCAACTTACAAAATTGGAAACCCAAAAGGCTAGCAAGCATATGAAAAAAAATGATCAATCTGCTTGGTAAACAAAAGAATGAAAATTAAAACAAAAGTGAAATAGTACTTGATGTCTATTGGATGGACATAGTTTAAATGGTAGATAATGCTGTATGTTGGTAGAGTTCTGGGGCTATAGCCTTAGGCACGAACAGAGGGAGTGTAGACAGGCCGCCATCTAGAGAGCAAATCAGCCAAAGTAAGTGTACCTGACCCACGACACAGCAGTTCTGCTCCTGAGTATGTATGCATCCCAAAGAAGTTATCCCTAACAGGTAAGGGGGCATACCATACCATTTATGAAAATTCAAAATATATGCACACAAAACTACACATGTTTTATAAAAACACTTTTTAAAAAAGATACACATTACACATAATAGGATAGTTATCTCTGGGGGAAGAGGAAAAAGGAAGGAATGGAAATAAAGGTAACTGAAGAAGGAAAAGAGGAGAAGGGTTTTGAACAGGCCCACTGTGAAAACGTCATGGGGCTAAGAACAACAAACACAGAGAACAGGAGGTCTCCGAGGCAATCTCAAGCACCCCTTCTCCGATACGGTTTTCTGTAATAGCTCATAGACGCTCAGCCAGGAACATCCAAAAACAGCTGGATGGCAAACACCAAACAGAAAAAGCAAAGTACTAGTAAAAAGATTGACATCAGAGTTTTTTTTCCAACTCTAAATGCTCTGAGAAAAATAAAGAAGCATCTACAGATGTTGAGGGGAAATATTTTGACACAAATATAATACTGAGCTAAGTTTGGGGCACCTGCGTGGTTCAGTCAGTTCAGCTTCCAACTTTAGCTCAGGTCGTGAGCTCAAGGTTCATGGGTTCGAGTCCAGTGTCAGACTCTGTGCTGACAGCTCAGAACCTGGAGCCTGCTTCGGATTCTGTGTCTCCCTCTGTCTCTACCCCTCCCCTGCTTGTGCTCTGTCTCTCAAAAATAATAAACTTAAATATTTTTAAATACTGAGCTAAGTTTTTCATATATGAATGATCATTTGTGTGTTAAGATAGAGATGGAAGTCAAGGAGAAAGAAAGATCTTTTTTTTTTTTAATTAAAAAAATTTTTTTAAGTAGGCTCCATGCCCAGAGTGGAGCCCAACATGGGGCTCAAACTCACAACCCTAAGGTCAAGACCTGAGCTGAGATCAAGAGTCTGACACTTAACCAAGTGAGCCACCGAGGCACACCCAAGAAAGATCTTTTTCAGACTTTTCTGGACTTGGAGGCTTACTACCTACTTACTCATTACTTAGTGAATGTCCGTTGAATAAAGAAAAGACAAAGTTACAAGAATGGCTAATATATATGATTTGCTGTTCCAGCTCCAGCTGTCTGTCCAGAGCACTTACTAAGAAGGGGTGTGATTTTTCTATCCAGTCTCAGATGCAGGAGTGTCTGGATTAACTAGCAACATTGGCCATA